ATATGTGTATGCATTTATAGTATTTAAAGAAGGAATGATAGTAAAAAGAAAAGGCTTTTTACGTTAGATACGCGTTGTCTCCCAGTTGTGCAATCCATGTCACCCACTTGTATATTTCATCACCTAATAACCTGTAATTCAAGTGATGAAAATGAACAATAGAAGGGGGAAAGGAAAAAAAAAATCAGAGAAAATTTTAAAGAGTGGAGAGTAGTATTTTAAGAAGAGCCATTTGAGGAAGTAGTGCTTACATACCGGCAAAAAGGAAAGACGAAGTGGGTGCAGTGGCTATTGGGCATGTCAACATCGTTAATTCCTCTATATCAAACTAATAAACATCAACCCAACTTCGATTTCGGTGGCTGAGTACATGAGAGAAAGAGGGAGAGAACTTAGCCATTCAAAAAGCACCCAAATGGTTGTTACTCCATAATTTTTCTGAAATCTTCTTGTTACTCCATAATGGCACATTAGAAACTACAAATTAAAAACTGAACATCCTATGTCATCGCCTAGATGTTAACAAAGAAAATTTTGGAAGAAGAAATGATAAAGTTCACAAATTACAATTTAACGATCAACTTAATGATAAAAACTTAAATTCCACAATTTAGGAAAGAGGGCAAAACTACCAGTTATGCCAAATCCACTTGGGAAAAAATAATAGTTCAAATATGATTCTGTGTTTATTTAAAATTCCAAAAAATGTAATTAGCATAATTACGCTTGTATCAAAAACGTGATCTAATCAAAACCCACAAATGAAACCAAATAAGTAGTAGAAAATGCTAGAAAAGTTATGATGAAATTCAGTCAATAGTGGCAAGTACTCCAAAACCAAATTTCAGTTATGACCATAACATCTCACACCTTCAATTCAACTTAAAAAAATACAAAATTTATATTTTAAATTCCACACAAATTGAATTCAAAACCTAACCAGTATAAAAATTAAAAATTAAAAAGCAAATTGAGATTTAGTTGAGAGAGGGAGGAAGTGAATCAATAACTATTAACAACTCTATTGAAACTCTATTCAAAATCACTTAATAACAAAGGTTACATGCAAAAACAAAATTAAATGTCCCAAATGACCAATACTCAACAAAACGGCCCCATCCACAAAACTTTTTAGTTCAAACTTCCCAATTTCATTTGATTATTCAAGTAAAAATGATAAAATTTACAATGAAATCATGAAAATGTCCTATTTAACCCAAAAGACAGTATATATTCATTTTACTATTACCCAATACTATTA